TTTACTCTCCACGAAGGACGGAGACACCCGGAAGCAAACCGCTGGTAGCAAACACTAGCTGGCAAGGCTGTCAGTGGTCCTCCCGAGGGTTGCTTTGTTTTGCAAGCGGGTATGACTCTCTTACGTACGCCAGTACGAATTTACCAACGATACGAACAAACTAATTGTAAAGAGATTCGTTACCCCAGTGGAGGAGTTGAACCCACGCCCTTCTGCACGACAACAGTGCTACTCTTCAGTGCGTCACGTCCGTCAGCAGGGTTTTGACGTATATTTGTACCAACTGCTTGGCATTTCTAGGAATTATAAAGTGCCAACTTTCAACCACGTGCTAAGCGGACTTCTCAGTTCTCCACGTTGTAGTGGAATCTCGACAGTAGAACAGCTGTTACCGGAAAAAGTCATAAAAAACGGCATGTGGATACAAATAGCCCATATTTTCGGGAATGGCTAGACAGAAACACGGAAGTATGGAAAACCAACCTGTACAAATTAATGTAAAAGAAAAGGTGACCACAGCGTTGCTCGTTGTCATCATCTGGAAAAAGAAAAATATATTAATTGCTAAATTAGTTTTCTGCAAATCTAATGGTAGCTGATAAGTTCAAGGACACCTTTTGAAGATTCTCTGAAAAAATTGTTTTCAAATTACTCGTGAAAATTGGCGTTCCCTTCCTCTTCCTCTGTATAACGACAACACTCGTTAAAGAGTTTAAGGAGCAAGTAGTTCATTTGCTTGTGCTTCTAGTAAATTCGCTGCTTTTGTCTTTATGCCCTTTTGTAGTGCAGTGCTATAGCCAAGTGTGACGCTAGAAACGTGATAAGAACTTTCACGCGCGTCTGCGCCTCATGTACGGCTTGTGAAGGAAATTCAGCTTTAATGCATATCTACTTCTCACGTGTGTAGAGACATGTGAAATTTAAAAATGCACCGTTTTTCAACTTTATAGCGAGGCAAGCTATTTCATTTATAATATTTTTAATACCATCAAACTTTTTTAAAACTATCAAAATTTTTAATACTATTAAAATTTTTAATACTATCAAACCTTATAATATTTTAATAATAATTTCAAACTTTTTATAATACTATCCTTGGCCACTTCTCCATTTTGCACTGCGCCACAAGCACTATACATTGAATTTCAAAATAAAAAGAAGAATGGCTCGATTCCGTCTCGGTCCACAGCCGCTTTCGAAAAGGGACTCTGTTCACGGTATTTGGAGCAAAACACCTATTCTTCAAGTAGGCAGCCGTTTTCGCTGATCGCATAAGCGCATGACCGTACCAACAATCCTACTGCGTGCAACCACTAGTTTTATGAACTTTCGCATACATAATTTATGCAAAAATGAATTGCGGTGAGACCACACTCGTGTGTGTGTGTTTATCCGTCTGCCAACTTTCAGATCGCCCTTTTCCTTGCATCTG